GTGTGTTGGACTGTGGACAGATGCCATGTGGTGAGAGTCAGAGGGGAGCTAGTGAATAAACAGACAGAGAGAGAGAGAGAGAGAGAGAGAGAGAGAGAGAGAGAGAGAGAGAGAGAGAGAGAGAGAGAGAGAGAGAGGGAGGAGAAGGAGAATGAGAGAGAGAGAGAGAGGGAGGAGAAGGAGAGAGAGAGAGACAGAGGGAGGAGGAGAAGGAGAGAGAGAGAGAGAGAGAGAGAGAGAGGGAGAGGGCCTTGCTTATGTTATTCTCTGTATTGGGTATTGGGTTAAATTTCAACAGAAAACAGGAGCAGTATATCAATACTGAGCCTGTCTATTCTGTCTCGCCTGTCTAGTCTGTCTATCTGTCTCGCCTGTCTAGTCTGTCTTGCCTGTCTAGTCTGTCTAGCCTGTCTAGCCTGTCTAGTCTGTCTGAGCTGTCTAGTCTGTCTAGCCTGTCTAGTCTGTCTGCCTGTCTAGTCTGTCTAGCCTGTCTCGCCTGTCTAGTCTGTCTAGTCTGTCTAGCCTGTCTAGTCTGTCTATTCTGTCTCGCCTGTCTAGTCTGTCTTGCCTGTCTTGCCTGTCTAGTCTGTCTAGCCTGTCTCGCCTGTCTAGTCTGTCTAATCTGTCTCGCCTGTCTAGTCTGTCTTGCCTGTCTAGTCTGTCTAGCCTGTCTAGTCTGTCTAACCTGTCTAGTCTGTCTAACCTGTCTAGCCTGTCTGAGCCTGTCTAGTCTGTCTAGCCTGTCTAGTCTGTCCAGTCTGTCTCGCCTGTCTAGTCTGTCTTGCCTGTCTAGTCTGTCTAACCTGTCTAGCCTGTCTGAGCCTGTCTGAGCCTGTCTAGTCTGTCTAGCCTGTCTAGTCTGTCTATTCTGTCTGAGCCTGTCTAGTCTGTCTAGCCTGTCTAGTCTGTCTAGTCTGTCTGAGCCTGTCTAGTCTGTCTAGCCTGTCTAGTCTTGACCAATACCTTTACTGTACTCTAGTAGTACAGCTCTATGGGTATTTTACATTCATTTCAGAGGTTTTTTTTCTTGGATCAAATACAAACTGCTATTATTCTTATTTGACTTACTAATTCCAAGGCTGTGAGCATGTATCAATCTTTAAACAAGTCAAAGACTCAATGATAAGTCATAATTGAAAAGGGTAACATGATAAAAACAAATAATCATCATTGACATCAAGGAAACTAGATACAAAAACAAAAAAAGTGACATGTTTTTGCTTTTTTTTTTTTACATCATCATTCATTTCTATGTCATTAACATTATTTCAGGTTGACATATTGATATAAAGAAATATAATAGATATGTATATCAATATAAATACAATATCTGATTATTCATGTAAGTAAGTCATCCACAGGCAAGGAGCATGTAACTTTCAACAAGGACAGACAAATGCCATGGAAACTGTAAGACCAGGAGGGAAATAGCTATTTGAAATCAGTTTAGATTACAAAAATAGTTGTGTTTTCTCAACAACATTTCATTAGTCTCATGTGTATATAATAATAACTCTGAATCTGAATGAACAGAGAAGCAGTAGTGATATTACTGTCTCACCCCACACCATCCCAGCCTGGTTATCCCAACATTGCACTCACCATTGTATGACTTAATCTCTTTAGTCTCATGTTCAGGCTGGTTTAACCAAGCTACCACCACCCCTCAACGCATCTCAAAACAGAACACCCCCCTCCCCAATCCTTCACAACAATCCAGTACACAGCGCCCTGGAACCAGCTTGGATACATAGATACATACAGAGAAATCCCACCTTTTGACATGAATGGAATTTCCGTTCTAGTAATTATATTTCTATGGATAGATATCTCTGTACTAATTTGTTACGAATCTGAATCAACATACAGTAGAGCTGCTTGCTGCATGCCTAGTGCCCCCTCTCCTCTCCTCTCCTCTCCTCTCCTCTCCTCTCCTCTCCTCTCCTCTCCTCTCCTCTCCTCTCCTCTCCTCTCCTCTCCTCTCCTCTCCTCTCTTCTCCTCTCTTCTCCTCTCTTCTCCTCTCCTCTCCTCTCCCTGAGGGAAACAGTAGTCCTAAAGAGAACACATCACCTTACAGAAGAGCACACAGTGAACAGCTAACATACACACACATTCTGGGTCACACACACTCACACACACACAAACGTAAACACACACACACACACACTCTCACACACATACACAAAACATCACATTTTGAACTTGGAAAGGCATTGGAACTTGAAATTAGGGTTTGCATTGAATATGTGTTGTTCTGTTTAGGAGGATTACTGATGCATTTAACTACAGAGAAATGTAGAGGGAATATGTCTGCAAAGTTGAGGAGCGATGAATAGATCCAGAGACATATATTTAAATATACACTGAGTGTACAAAACATTAGGAACATTCCACCTGGGCAAGAGGAACACCTATGTGAGAATGCTATTCACTGACTACAGCTCAGTGTTCAACACCATAGTGCCCTCAAAGCTCATCACTAAGCTAAGGATCCTGGGACTAAACACCTCCCACTGCAACTGGATCCTGGACTTTCTGACGGGCAGCCCCCAGGTGGTAAGGGTATCATTCAGATTGAGTGAATGCTTCTGTGGACAGGTGTCTTTTATACAGGTAACGAGCTGAGATTAGGAGCACACTCTTAAAGGGAGTCCTCCTAATCTCAGCTTGTTCCCTGTATAAAAGACACCTGTCCACAGAAGCAATCACTCAATCAGATTCCAAACTCTCCACCATGGCCAAGACCAAAGAGCTCTCCAAGCATGTCAGGGACAAGATTGTAGACCTACATAAGGCTGGAATGGGCTACAAGACCATCGCCAAGCAGCTTTGTGAGAAGGTGACAACAGTTGGTGCGATTATTCGCAAATGGAAGAAACACAAAAGAACTGTCAATCTCCCTCGGCCTGGGGCTCCATGCAAGATCTCACCTCGTGGAGTTGAAATGATCATGAGAACGGTGAGGAATCAGCCCAGAACTACACGGGAGGATCTTGTCAATGATCTCAAGGCAGCTGGGACCATAGTCACCAAGAAAACAATTGGTAACACACTACGCCGTGAAGGACTGAAATCCTGCAGCGCCCGCAAGGTCCCCCTGCTCAAGAAAGCACATATACATGCCCGTCTGAAGTTTGCCAATGAACATCTGAATGATTCAGAGGAGAACTGGGTGAAAGTGTTGTGGTCAGATGAGACCAAAATTGAGCTCTTTGGCATCAACTCAACTCGCCGTGTTTGGAGGAGGAGGAATGCTGCCTATGACCCCAAGAACACCATCCCCACCGTCAAACATGGAGGTGGAAACATTATGCTTTGGGGTTGTTTTTCTGCTAAGGGGACAGGACAACTTCACCGCATCAAAGGGACGATGGACGGCGCCATGTACCGTCAAATCTTGGGTGAGAACCTCCTTCCCTCAGCCAGGGCATTGAAAATGGGTCGTGGATGGGTATTCCAGCATGACAATGACCCAAAACACACGGCCAAGGCAACAAAGGAGTGGCTCAAGAAGAAGCACATTAAGGTCCTGGAGTGGCCTAGCCAGTCTCCAGACCTTAATCCCATAGAAAATCTGTGGAGGGAGCTGAACGTTCGAGTTGCCAAATGTCAGCTTCGAAACCTTAATGACTTGGAGAAGATCTGCAAAGAGGAGTGGGACAAAATCCCTCCTGAGATGTGTGCAAACCTGGTGGCCAACTACAAGAAACGTCTGACCTCTGTGATTGCCAACAAGGGTGTTGCCACCAAGTACTAAGTCATGTTTTGCAGAGGGGTCAAATACTTATTTCCCTCATTAAAATGCAAATCAATTTATAACATTTTTGACATGCGTTTTTCTGGATTTTGTTGTTGTTATTCTGTCTCTCACTGTTCAAATAAACCTACCATTAAAATTATAGACTGATCATGTCTTTGTCAGTGGTCAAACGTACAAAATCAGCAGGGGATGTAGCTCAGTTGGTAGAGCATGGCGTTTGCAACGCCAGGGTTGTTGGTTCGATTCCCACGTGGGGCCAGTATGAAAAATAGAAATGTATGCGCTCACTAACTGTAAGTCGCTCTGGATAAGAGCGTCTGCTAAATGACTGAAATGGGATCAAATACTTTTTTCCCTCACTGTAGCCTCCTGCTATTTTATTTTACTGCTGTTATTTAGCTATTTACTTTTATTTTGTATTTTTCTTAATTAACACTTTTTTATTTTACATTTTTCTTTAAAAAACTGCATTGTTGGTTAAGGGCTTGTAAGTAAGCATTTCAATGTAATGTCTACACCTGTTGTATTCGGCGCATGTGGCAAATAAAATTTGATTTGATTTGATATAGACTGACCAGGTGAATCCAGGTGAATGCTATGATCCCTTATTGATGTCACTTGTTAAATCCACTTCAAATCAGTGTAGCTGAAGGGGAGGAGACAGGTTAAAGAAGGATTTTTAAGCCATGAGACACTTGAGATATGGATTGTTTAAGTGTGCCATTCAGTGGGGTGAATGGGCAAGACAAAAGATTGAAGTGCCTTTGAACGGGGTATGGTAGTAGGTGCCAGGCTCACCGGTTTGAGTGTGTCAAGAACTGCAACGCTGCTGGGTTTTTCACTCTCAACAGTTTCCTTTGTGTATCAAGAATGCTCCACTACCCAAAGGACATCCAGCCAACTTGACACAAATGTGAGAAGCATTGGAGTCAACATGGGCCAGCATTCCTGTGGAACGCTGTCGACACCTTTGTAGAGTCCACGCCCCGACGAATTGAGGCTGTTCTGAGGGCAAAAGGGGGGTGCAGCTCAATATTAGGATGGTGTTCCTAGTGTTTTGTACACTCAGTGTATATTAAATACATTTTAAATATATGGCACTGAATAGGTGGACCAGTCTAATCTATAGTAATATCTAGTTCTACAACCACAGGGGTTCTATTGATGGGCTTCAATTGGTTGCCTGAGCATGCAAATAAATAACATATGTAGCTATCATCCCGTTCTCGTGTTGAAGTCTATTATGACCTAGGACGGTGCCGTGTTGAAGTCTATTTTGACCTAGGACGGTGCCGTGTTGAAGTCTATTATGACCTAGGACGGTGCCATGTTGAAGTCTATTATGACCTAGGACGGTGCCGTGTTGAAGTCTATTATGACCTAGGACGGTGCCGTGTTGAAGTCTATTATGACCTAGGACGGTGCCGTGTTGAAGTCTATTATGACCTAGGACGGTGCCATGTTGAAGTCTATTATGACCTAGGACGGTGCCATGTTGAAGTCTATTATGACCTAGGACGGTGCCGTGTTGAAGTCTATTATGACCTAGGACGGTGCCGTGTTGAAGTCTATTATGACCTAGGACGGTGCCATGTTGAAGTCTATTATGACCTAGGACGGTGCCATGTTGAAGTCTATTATGACCTAGGACGGTGCCGTGTTGAAGTCCTATTATGACCTAGGACGGTGCCATGTTGAAGTCTATTATGACCTAGGACGGTGCCGTGTTGAAGTCTATTATGACCTAGGACGGTGCCATGTTGAAGTCTATTATGACCTAGGACGGTGCCATGTTGAAGTCTATTATGACCTAGGACGGTGCCGTGTTGAAGTCTATTATGACCTAGGACGGTGCCGTGTTGAAGTCTATTATGACCTAGGACGGTGCCGTGTTGAAGTCTATTATGACCTAGGACGGTGCCATGTTGAAGTCTATTATGACCTAGGACGGTGCCATGTTGAAGTCTATTATGACCTAGGACGGTGCCGTGTTGAAGTCTATTATGACCTAGGACGGTGCCGTGTTGAAGTCTATTATGACCTAGGACGGTGCCGTGTTGAAGTCTATTATGACCTAGGACGGTTGGCCATGTTGAAGTCTATTATGACTAGGACGGTGCCATGGTGAAAGGTCTATTATGACCTATGGAAGGTGCCTGTTGAATCTAGTATGCCCTAGGACGGTGCCTATATGAAACCTAGGACGGTGCCGTGTTGAGTCTATTATGGACCTAGGACGGTGCCGTGTTTGAAGTCTATTATGACCTAGGACGGTGCCTTGGTGAAGTCTATTATGACCTAGGCGGTGACCCATGTTTGAAGTCTATTTTACCTAGGACGGGTGCCATGTTTGAAGTCTATTATGGACCTAGGACGGTGCCTGTTGAAGTCTATTTTGACCTAGGTACGGTGCATGTTTGAAGTCCTATTATGACCTCGGACTGGTGCCGTGTTGAAGTCTATTATGGAACCTGTGACGGTGCCATGTTGAAGTCTATTATTGACCTAGGACGGATGCCCGTGTTGGAAGTCTATTATGACCTAGGACGGTGCCATGTTGAAGTCTATTATGGACCTAGGACGGTGCCATGTTGAAGTCTTATGACCTAGGGCATGTTGAAGTCTATTATGACCTAGGACGGTGCCGTGTTGAAGTCTATTATGACCTAGGACGGTGCCGTGTTGAAGTCTATTATGACCTAGGACGGTGCCATGTTGAAGTCTATTATGACCTAGGACGGTGCCATGTTGAAGTCTATTATGACCTAGGACGGTGCCATGTTGAAGTCTATTATGACCTAGGACGGTGCCGTGTTGAAGTCTATTATGACCTAGGACGGTGCCGTGTTGAAAGTCACTGAGCTCTTCAGTACGGGCCATTCTACTGCCAGTGTTTGTCTATGGAGATTGCATGGCTGTGTGCTTGATTTTCTACACCTGTCAGCAACGTGTGTGGCTGAAATAGCCGAATACACTAATTTGAAGGGGTGTCCACATACTGCTGTATATACAGTGTTTCATCCCATTCTTGTATTGAAGTCTATTCATTCTCAGTCATAGCGCCGTATACAGTAGGACTACGCAGAAGTTACTGTAATACACACAGAATAATATATATCTGAACAGTCACAGTACATAAACGCGTAGCAATGTGCAATTCTAACTCCATCTACACCTCAGCAACACTCCCAAAGGCTTCTGTAGGGGTCTTGGGTTTACTGTACCTGCATTTCTCGTGCCCTGTTAAATGAAAGTTCCATTATTCAGCAGTGATACTTTGTTAACATTGTTCGAATTCTTAAAAAGCCTACAACAAAAAAAAAAAAAACAGCAACTTAAATCTCCTGAGAAAAAGACCTGACGTAAATAATCACCATAACCACTTTGTTAGAATATAACTGGCTGCACCTGCACAAACAGTATATAATCTCAATGTATTTCTGTCATTTCTATTGTGCCATATATAAACCAGAGCTCTGATAAAGAATGATGAGCTCAGGTTAGAGATAAAGGCTGATTTACTGTGTCTTAGCTGCTCTAGTATAGCTGTCACAAAGCGTAGCACTAGCAGGCAACAACATGGGCAGCCATCTTGGGCAGCCATCTTGGGCAGCCAGATAGTGAGAATCTCACTGGCCCATCGCAGCAGGCAAAACTGGTTGCAGTGATGTCATGGTCAGGTCGTACTGTACACTGATTGTATAATGACGTTATGCTAACGTATTTTTACAACCAGAAAAATATGTCTTTATATAGTTGTGATCTGGTTATCTAACCAGATAACAACCACAATATAACGTCTTTCTCATGACTTCTTGATGTCGTCATTAAAAATACATGTATACCTGTCTGTACAGTAACAGCGAACAATTGGTTGTAATCTGGTTACTTAACGTCTTCTCAACCAGAAAACCAGTTTACAACCAGAAAATGACATCATGCCAGAATTGGCCTTTTGGTCTGATCTAGTCCATGCCAGTCTGGTCCAGGTCGGTCCGGTCCAGTCTGGTCCAGGTCGGTCCGGTCCAGTCTGGTTTGGTCCAGTCCAGTCAGGTCTAGGCACAATGTGAGAGCGTTAGTTTGATAAGTCCCTCCGTGTGCATCTTATAGAGTAGTTTGAACTCTGCTGGCAGCTGGTGGGACTCCTGCCACTTGGTGGTGAACTTGGTACCCTTCTTGTCGTAGTAGTGGTAGGGCAGCTCCTTGCCCGTGTTGGGGTCCCAGCCAAAGGGCCAGAAGCCGTACAGGTGGATCTCCTCACACATGGATGAGGCCAGAGTGTACATGAGGATCCCCGTGCTCAGACGCTTCGGTGACAGCTGCTTGGTCTTCCAGTATCTAACAGACACCAACAGACAGACAGGGTTAGAATTGGTTACTGTTGGAATGGTTACTGTTGGAATGGTTACTGTTGGAATGGTTACTGTTGGAATGGTTACTGTTGGAATGGTTACTGTTGGAATGGTTACTGTTGGAATGGTTACTGTTGGAATGGTTACTGTTGGAATGGTTACTGTTGGAATGGTTACTGTTGGAATGGTTACTGTTGGAATGGTTACTGTTGGAATGGTTACTGTTGGAATGGTTACTGTTGGAATGGTTACTGTTGGAATGGTTACTGTTGGAATGGTTACTGTTGGAATGGTTACTGTTGGAATGGTTACTGTTGGAATGGTTACTGTTGGAATGGTTACTGTTGGAATGGTTACTGTTGGAATGGTTACTGTTGGAATGGTTACTGTTGGAATGGTTACTGTTGGAATGGTTACTGTTGGAATGTTACTGTTGGATGTTCCTTATTGAAGGTTCCGTGGAAGGTACTGTTGAATGGTTACTGTTGGAATGGTCGTGAGACAGGTTACGTTGAATGTTACGTTGGATGGATTAAGGCTGTTGAATGGTTACTGTTGGAGTGGTTCTGTATGGAAAGGTTACTGTTGGAATGGTTACTGTTGGAGGTTACTGTTGGAATGGTTACTGTTAGGAATGGTTCTGTTGAATGGTTACTGTTGGATGGTTACTGTTAGGATGGTTACTGTTGGAAGGTTACTGTTAGGATGGTTACTGTTGGATGGTTACTGTTAGGATGGTTACTGTTGGAATGGTTACTGTTTAGGATGGTTACTGTTGGAATGGTTACTGTTGGAACTGGTTACTGTTAGGAATGGTTACTGTTGGAATGGTTACTGTTGGAATGGTTACTGTTGGAATGGTTACTGTTGGAATGGTTACTGTTGGAATGGTTACGTTGGACGTTACTGTTGGATGGTTACTGTTGGAAAGGTTACTGTTGGAATGGTTACTGTTGAATGGTTACTGTTGGATGGTTACTGTTGGAGGTTACTGTTGGAAAGGTTACTGTTAGGATGAGTTACTGTTAGGAATGGTTACTGTTAGGACTGGTTACTGTTGGAATGGTTACTGTTTGGATGGTTACTGTTGGAATGGTTACTGTTGGAATGGTTACTGTTAGGACGGTTACTGTTAGGATGGTTACTGTTAGGATGGTTACTGTTGGAGGTTACTGTTAGGAAAGGTTACTGTTAGGATGGTTACTGTTAGAAAGGTTTCTGTTAGGATGGTTACTGTTAGGATGGTTACTGTTGGACTGGTTACTGTTAGGACGGTTACTGTTAGGACGGTTACTGTTAGACGGTTAAATGTTAGGACGGTTACTGTTAGGACGGTTACGTAGACGGTTTAGGATGGTTACTGTTAGCATGGTTACTGTTAGGATGGTTACTGTTAGATGGTTACTGTTAGGATGGTTACTGTTAGGATGGTTACTGTTAGGAGGTTACTGTTAGGACGGTTACTGTTAGGACGGTTACGTTAGGAGGTATGTTAGGGGTACGTTAGACGGTTACTGTTAGGACGGTTAACTGTTAGGATGGTTACTGTTAGCATGGTTACTGTTAGGATGGTTACTGTTAGGATGGTTACTGTTAGGATGGTTAGTTAGGATGTTACTGTTAGGACGGTTACTGTTAGGACGGTTACTGTTAGGAGGTTACTGTTAGGACGGTTACTGTTAGGAGGTTATGTTAGGAGGTTACTGTTAGGACGGTTACTGTTAGGACGGTTACGTGATAGGACGGGTTACTGTTAGGATGGTTACTGTTAGGATGGTTATGTTAGATGGTTACTGTTAGGACGGTTACTGTTAGGACGTGTTACTGTTAGGACGGTTACTGTTAGGAGGTTACTGTTAGGATGGTTACTGTTAGATGGTTACTGTTAGGATGGTTACTGTTAGGACGGTTACTGTTAGGACGGTTACTGTTAGATGGTTACTGTTAGGAGTGGTTACTGTTAGGACGGTTACTGTTAGGACGGTTACTGTTAGGACGGTTACTGTTAGGACTGGTTACTGTTAGGATGGTTACTGTTGAGTGACGGGTTACGTGTTAGACGGTTACTGTTAGGACGGTTACTGTTAGGACGGTTACTGTTAGGATGGTTACTGTTAGGACTGGTTACTGTTAGGACGGTTACTGTTAGGATGGTTACTGTTAGGACGGTTACTGTTAGGACGGTTACTGTTAGGACGGTTACTGTTAGGACGGTTACTGTTAGGACGGTTACTGTTAGGATGGTTACTGTTAGGATGGTTACTGTTAGGACGGTTACTGTTAGGACGGTTACTGTTAGGACGGTTACTGTTAGCATGGTTACTGTTAGGATGGTTACTGTTAGGATGGTTACTGTTAGGACGGTTACTGTTAGGACGGTTACTGTTAGGATGGTTACTGTTAGGATGGTTACTGTGTTAGTGATGGTTACTGTTAGGACGGTTACTGTTAGGATGGTTACTGTTAGGACGGTTAGTGTTGTAGGATGGTTACTGTTAGGACGGTTACTGTTAGGATGGTTACTGTTAGGATGGTTACTGTTAGGATGGTTACTGTTAGGGTTACTGGTTAGGACGGTTACTGTTGGAGGTTAGCTGTTAGGATGGTTACTGTTAGGATGGTTACTGTTGGAATGGTTACTGTTAGGATGGTTACTGTTAGGACGGTTACTGTTAGGACGGTTACTGTTAGGACGGTTAGGAACACAGAAGAAGAAGAAGAAGATTCCAGTATCTACACCAAGTGAACAGGCATGGTTATATAGTATGGTTAGGAACACAGTGAAACGATTACATAGGTTAAGCCATGACAATGTGTGTGTGTGTTTATGTGTGTGTGTGTGTGTTTATGTGTGTGTGTGTGTGTGTGTTCATGTGTGTGTGTGTGTGTGTGTGCTTATGTGTGTGCGTGTTTTTATGATTGTGTGTGTGTGTGTGTGTGTTTATGTGTGTATGTATGTGTGTGTGTGTTTATGTGTGTGTGTTTGTGTTTATGTGTATATGTTTATGTGTGTGTGTATGTGTTTATGTGTGTGTGTGTGTGTTTATGTGTGTGTGTGTGTGCGTGTGTGTGTTTATGTGTGTGTATGTGTTTATGTGTGTGTGTGTGTGCGTTTGTGTTTGCGTGTGTGTGTGTGTGTGTGTGTGTGTGTGTGTGTGTGTGTGTGTGTGTGTGTGTGAGTGCTGTACATGCTGCAGTATTAAGTTGAAAACCAATTAAAAACGATTGATGCTTTATCACAAAATAAAATTGGCCCCTCAACAATGGACACAATAGACACTGTCGTCTTAATGCGGACTGAGCTTGTTAAAATGGAGTAATTCTGTGCGAGAAGGTTACTTTAATGGGATTGAGGGAGATTACAGTACAACCAGTCTGAATCCCAAATAGCACCCTATTCACTTTCTAGCACACTACTTTTGACAAAGGCCCACAGGGCTCTGGTAGTGCACTATATAGGGAATAGGGTGCCATTTGGGACTCATCTCCAGTCTCTTCTAGAAGCAACAGCAAGCCAGGGGTAAATTAAGCCCCTCTTCATATGTCTATCTCTGTACCAGACCCATTCACAGACAGAACTCTGTACCAGACCCATTCACAGACAGAACTCTGTACCAGACCCATTCACAGACAGAACTCTGTACCAGACCCATTCACAGACAGATATCTCCTTACAAGCAGGCAGCTTCCCGTTCTAAATCCCTCTCTCTCCATATCATATGGGCTCCCGAGTGGCGCAGCGGTCTAAGGCACTGCATCTCAGTGCTTGAGGCGTCACTACAGACCCCCTGGTTCGATTCCAGGCTCTAACACAACCGGACGTGATTGGGAGTCCCATAGGGCGGCGCACAATTGGCCCAGCGTCGTCCGGGTTTGGCCGGTGTAGGCCGTCATTGTAAATAACAATTTGTTCTTAACTGACTTGCCTAGTTAAATAAAGGTAAAATATATACTATCCACTTCATTTGGAATGTTAGACAACAGCCAAACAACGGAAGTGATGGATTCACTTCCTCTTTACTTCCCTACTGCAGTGCGCCGGTGGCAAACGTGCCAGAGTCAATTATTTGAAGGACTCAATTTATAGAGCATAAAAGTCAAGTAAACAAGTATAAATGTAAGTGTATAAGTGTAATTTTATATTGATTTAATTCAAGGTCTCTAACGTTAGCTAGACCTAGGCTAGTTCTGTTGTGATAATAATGTTAGCTAGACCTACTAGTAGGATGGTTCTGTTGTGAAAATGTTAGCATGCTAGTTAGCTAACACACAGTGTCGCCCCAGCCTCCCGCCTGCTATGCTAGAGGGAAGCGGGAGCGACCGGTAGACGGTGTCCTTCGCCTCCGCCTGTCGGGCACTGTTTTCCCTCAGTTCTGTTAACGATGGCGAAGGCAGGTGTTCGACAGACTGGAGCAACTGACACCGTCTAACGGCTCAGATAATACTTTCATTTCCCTTTTGACCCACATTCAAAAGTGTCACAAGCATCAAGATGTTCATGAAGGAGAAACCAATGGGATCCTCGAGGGGAGGGGGGGGGGGGGGGAGGGGGTGTTCATGAAGGAGGAACCAATGGGATCCTCGAGGGGAGGGGGGAGGGGGGGGGGTGGTTCATGAAGGAGGAACCAATGGGATCCTCGAGGGAAACGCAGGACCACCCCGAATTGGAGGCTGCAGTTGAACACTATTGGTGTGATTTCTCCCCTTCTCAGCTGTCTATTACTGCCTCCTGGTTTCCACCAATCAGCGTGCCCGAATGCACATTTGTACTCTGACCCCTCCCCACTCCAGGTCAGTACTTTTAGTCGCCCGGAAGAAGAAAACGCAAGTTCTGGTTAGCGACCAAGTTGACTGTGTTTATTTTAGGAAGATTGTGCAACGTGTCCAAGAAGTGAGTTGTGGGGTTTATTGTCGGGAGGGTTAATGCTACGTTACGGGGATTGACTGCAAGCAATTACCTTGTTACATCTGTAGCTGTAGCTGTTTAGTACTTGCTACAGCTTGTATATTGTGCAGGTCGTTTTATAAGTGCCTGTATTGCATTGAATGTATTTTGCAGTAGATGTTATTGTATATGTAGGCGCACTTTACCACTGTTCTTTCATAGTTCCCACAACTGTTAAGCCATGGCTGCGAGGCCTTATGCACCTCTCTCATCCTACAGTCGACCAGCCCTGCTCCAAGCCTCCTCAGTGGTCAGCGAGTGACCACACCCTCACCAGTTGGGAGCTGCTGAGAGAATACGAGGAGCGCAGCAAGAGATCAGGATGGCGTATTCTAGAACCTCCCGGCAGCGGGAGCACCGGTACCGCTGCTACTCTCCTGCCCACCACCGCTCTAGGCCTCTCCGGCTAGAGCCATCGTCACCGCCACGGGAGCGCCACTACAGCGGAAACTCCCCGAGTCGGCCCGGCTACTCCCCTGACAGACACTACTCCAGGCCTCCCCAGCCAGCGCATTTACCACCTTCACGAGACTGTTGGTACTTCCACTATGTCCCTAGGTGGCCCAGTTATTCACCAGATCGTCGTCGCTTCAGGTCCCCCTGGCAGAGCCTACGTCGCATTTACCAGAGTATCGGGAGCGCCACTTCTCCCCCGAGCTGGCCCAGCTGCTCCCCAGACCGACACTGTGTTATGTCCCCCCTACCCAAGCCACCAGAGCGCCGGATCCGCTTCTGCTGTCCAGTGCGGACTAGTTCCCCATCAGATCAACTCAACTCCGGAGTGCACAGTCCACGACACCAATGTCTGCACCCCCCTCAGGCTGAGCCTCGACTAAGGAGCCCCTGCTGGTTGAGGCAGACGCTCGGGTGCCCGAGGTTTGACTGCCTGCTGCCCTGGAACCCTCCACCGGCCTTTCCTGCTCTTGGCCTGGTGCCCAAGCTAGCGGTGGATTCTTCACCTGCTCCTAGGATGGAGCTACAGCCTGCAGCTACTGCAGATGTCAAGTACAGCCCAGTTGTTGGGGCCTCTCCCTCCACGGCCTGGTGGTGTCAGCCCCGTCCTGTCTTCGAAGTTCAGCCTGCCTCAGTCAAGTCCCAGCCTGCGGCCACAATGACCATACCTGGCTTGCAGTCCTCAGTCTTAGTAGTAGGTTCCAAGTCCCCTGCCCTGTCAGGGCCTGGGTTTCCTGCCCTGCTAGGCCCTCAGCCCCCTGACCTGGGGATCCACCGTTCCTTGACCTGGGGACCCTCCGGCCCTCGCACCTGGGGAACCGCCTGACCTCATCTCTGGGGCCCAGCCGGGCACTGCCTCCGGATCCTTGACGAGCCTCACCCAGGGGTCCCTGCCTGTTCCACTATGGGAGCAGTGGTGAAAGAGTCACCAACCTCAGTGAGCTGCCAAAGACAGTTGTGGCAGGCGTGCCACATTCCTCCGCCGCAGTAGGTCGAGATACCTCCTTCAGCTGTAGCCAGCATTCCGGCATTGTACTCAGCGCCCATGGAAGGGCCCCAGCGGCCCTGCACCAGCTGAGTTCGACACTGTTCCCACAACATTGTGCACCCCCCCTGGCCCCCCATGGTTCTCTGAAGTGACAATGGCTATCAGCTGCCCCTCTAGTATGGCCAGACTGTAAAAAAAGGCAACGCCTGTGCACATGACTTTCCCCACAGTCCCATTAGCAAGTTCTGGTTAGCGACCAAGTTTGACTGTTTATTTTAGGAAGATTGTGCATGCATCCAAGAAGTGAGTTGTGGGGTTTATTGTCGGGAGGTTTAAGTTACCTACATTATGATGATTGACTGTAAGCGATTACCTTCAGGTCTAATTACCTTGTTACATCTGTAGGTGTATAGTACTGCTGCAGCTTGAATATTTCAGATACTCCATTTGCACGTTGTTTATATTGCATTGAATGCATGATTGTTTAGAGATGGTTAATTCCTATAGGCTATATGCGCACTTCACCGCTAATTCTTTCATAGTTCTGTTAAACCATATGGTTATAAATGGCACCGGAGGAGATGGCTAACCAATTGTGCTATTGTGTGTGTTTTTTCGCGTTATTTGTAACATATTTTGTACATAATGTTTCTGCCACCGTCTCTTATGACCGAAAAGAGCTTCTGGATATCAGGACAGCGATTACTCACTTCGTACTGGACGAAGATTTTTTCTTTAACGAGTCGGACACGAAGGATTTACTTCAGACACCCGACAAGGCCCAAATCCCCGTCATTCGCAGGAGAAAGAGACGGAGATATCGGGGACGTAGGTCGGGGTGCCTTGTAAGGATCCGACAGCGAGTGGGTAATCTGCCTCTACCATCAGTCCTATTAGCCAACGTACAATCATTGGATAACAAAATAGATGAACTACGATCACGAATATCCTACCAACGGGACATTAAAAACTGCAATATCTTATGTACCACCGAGTCGTGGCTGAACGACGACATGGATAACATATAGCTGCCGGGATATACACTGTATCGGCAGGATAGAACAGCTGCCTCCGGTAAGACAAGGGGTGGCGGTCTGTGAATATTTGTAAACAACAGCTGGTGCACGATATCTAATACTAAAGAAGTCTCGAGGTTTTGCTCGCCTGAGGTAGAGCATCTCATGATAAGCTGTAGACCACACTATTTACCCAAGAGAGTTTTCATCTATAATTTTCGAAGCTGTCTATTTACCACCACAAACCGAAGCTGGCACTAAGACCGCACTCAATGAGCTGTATAAGGCCATAAACCAAATCTAATTTTATTTGTCACATACACGTGTTCAGCAGATGTTATAGCGGGTGTAGCGAAATGCTTGTGATTCTAGCTCCGACAGTGCAGTAATATCTAACAAGTAATATCTAACAATTTCACAACATATACCCAATACACACAAAACTAGTAAGGAATGGAATTTAAGAATATATACATATATGGACAAGCAATGACAGAGCAGCATGGACTAAGATACAGTATAATATTATAGAATAGAATACAGTATATACATATGAGATGAGTAGTGCAAGATATGTAAACATTATTAAAGTGACTAGTGTTCCATTTCTTAAAGTGGCCAGTGTTTTCAATAGGCAGCAGCAGCCTCTAATGTGCTAGTGATAGCTATTTAACAGTCTGAAGGCCTTGAGATAGAAGCTGGTTTTCATTCTCTCGGTCCCAGCTTTGATGCACCTGTACTGACCTCGCCTTCTGGATGATAGCGGGGTGAACAGGCAGTGGCTCGGGTGGTTGATGTCCTTGATGATATTTTGGGCCTTCCTGTGACATCGGGTGCTGTAGGTGTCTTGGAGGGCGGGTAGTTTGCCCCCGTTAATGCGTTCGGCAGACCGCACCACCCTATGGAGAGCCCTGTGGTTGTGGGCGGTGCAGTTGCCATACCAGGCGGTGATACAGCCCGACAGGATACTCTCAATTGTGCATCTGTAAACGTTTGTGAGGGTTTTAGGTGGCCAAGCCGAATTTCTTCAGCCTCCTGAGGTTGAAGAGGCTCTGTTGCGCCTTCTTCACCACACTGTCTGCGTGGGTGGACCATTTCAGTTTGTCGGTGATGTGTACGCCAAGGAACTTAAAGCTTTCTACCTTCTACACTGCGGTCCCGTCGATGTGGATAGGGGGGTGCACCCTCTGCTGTTTCCTGAAGTCCACGATCATCTCCTTTGTTTTGTTGACGTTGAGTGAGAAGTTATTTTCCTGGTATCACACTCCCAGAGCCCTCACCTCCTCCCTGTAGGCTGTCTCGTCATTGTTGGTAATCAAGCCTACTACTGTTGTGTCATCTGCAAACAAATGATTGAGTTTGAGGCGTGCTTGGCCACGCAGTCATGGGTGAACAGGGAGTACAGGAAGGGTCTGAGCACGCACCCTTGTGGGGCCCCACTGTTGAGGATCAGCGAAGTGTAGATGTTGTTTCCTACCTTCACCACCTGGGGGTGGCCCGTCAGGAAGTCCAGGACCCAGTTGTACAGGGCGGGGTTCAGACCCAGGGCCTTGAGCTTAATGATGAGCTTGGAGGGTACTATGGTGTTGAATGCTGAGCTATAGTCAATGAACAGCATTCTTACATAGGTATTCCTCTTGTCCAGATGGGATAGGGCAGTGTGCAGTGTGATGGCGATTGCATCGTCTGTGGATCTATTGGGGCGGTAAGCAAATTGAAGTGGGTCTAGGGTGACAGGTAAGGTAGAGGTGATATGATCCTTGACTAGTCTCTCAAAGCACTTCATGATGACAGAGGTGAGTGCTACAGGGCGATAGTTATTTCATTCAGTTACCTTTGCTTTCTTGGGTACATAAGCAAACAGGAAAACGCTCATCCAGAGGCGGCGCTCCTAGTGGCCAGGGACTTTAATGCAGGGAAACGTACATCCGTTTTTACCTCATTTCTACCAGCATGTTAAATGTGCAACCTGAGGGAAAAAAACTCTAGACCACCTTTACTCCATACACAGAGACGCGTACAAAGCTCTCCCTCGCCCTCCATTTGGCAAATCTGACCATAATTCTATCCTTCTGATTCCTGCTTACAAGCAAAATCTAAAGCAGGAAGCACCAGTGACTCAGTCAATAAAGAAGTGGTCAGATGACGCAGATGCTAAGCTACAGGACTGTTTTACTAGCACAGACTGGAATATGTTCCGGGATTCTTCCGATGGCATTGAGGAGTACACCACATCAGTCACTGGCTTCATCAATAAGTGCATCAATGACGTTGTCCCCACAGTGACCGTACGTACACACCCCAACCAGAAGCCATGGATTACAGGCAACATCTGCACTGAGCTAAAGGGTAGAGCTGTTGCTTTCAAGGAGTGGGACTCTAACCCGGACGCTTATAAGAAAAATATTGCTATGCCTTCCGACGAACCATCAAACAGGCAAAGCGTCAACACAGGACTAAGATTGAATCGTACTACACCGGCTCTGACGCTAGTCGGATGTGGCAGGGCTTGCAAACGTTTAAATACTACAAAGGGAAGCACAGACGCAAGCTGCCCAGTGACACAAGCCTACCAGACGAGCTAAATTACTTCGATGCTCGCTTCGAGGCAAGCAACACTGAAGCATGCATGAGAGCATCAGCTGTTCTGGACGACTGTGTGATCATGCTCTCCATAGCCGATGTGAGTAAGACCTTTAAACAGGTCAACATTCACAAGGCCGCAGGGCCAAACGGATTACCAGGACGTGTACTCCGAGCATGCACTGACCAACTTGCAAGTGTCTTCACTGACATTTTCAACCTGTCCCTGACTGAGTCTGTAATACCAACATGTTTCAAGCAGACCGCCATAGTCCCTGTGCCCAAGAACACTAAGGTAACCTGCCTAAATGACTACAGACCCGTAGCACTCACATCTGTAGCCATGAAGTGCTTTGAAAGGCTGGTCATGGCTCACATCAACACCATTTTCCCAGAAACCCTAGATCCACTCCGATTTGCATACCACCACAACAGATCCACAGATGATGCAATCTCTTTTGCACTCCACACTTCCCTTTCCCACCTGGACAAAAGGAACACCTATGTGAGAATGCTATTCATTGACTACAGTTCAGCGTTCAACACCATAGTGCCCTCAAAGTTCATCACTAAGCTAAGGACCCTGGGACTAAACACCTCCCTCTGCAACTGGATCCTGGACTTCCTGACGGGCCGCCCACAGGTGGTAAGGGTAGGAAACAACACATCTGCCACGCTGATCCTCAACACGGGGGCCCCTCAGGTGTGCGTGCTCAGTCCCCTCCTGTACTCCCTGTTCACCCATGACTGCATGGCCAGGAACGACTTCAACACCATCATTAAGTTAGCTGACGACACAACAGTGGGGCCTGATCACCGACAACGATGAGACAGCCTATAGGGAGGAGGTCAGAGACCTGGCCGTGTGGTGCCAGGATAACAACCTCTCCCTCAACGTGACCGAGACAAAGGAGATGATTGTGGACTACAGGAAAAGGAGGACCGAGCATGCCCCCATTCTCATCGACGGGGCTGTACTGGAGCAGGTTGAGAGCTTCAAGTTCCTTGGTGTCCACATCACCAACAAACTACATGGTCCAAACACACCAAGACAGTCGTGAAGAGGGCACGACAAAGCCTATTCCCCCTCAGGAGACTGAAAAGATTTGGCATGGGTCCTCAGATCTTCCAAAAGTTATACAGTTGCACCATCGAGAGCATCCTGACTGGTTGTATCACTGCCTGGTATGGCAACTGCTCGGCCTCCAACCGCAAGGCACTACAGAGGGTAGTGCGTACGGCCCAGTACATCACTGGGGCCAAGCTTCCTGCCATCCAGGACCTCTATACCAGGCGGTGTCAGAGGAAGGCCCTCAAAATTGTCAAAGACTCCAGCCACCCTAGTCATAGACTGTTCTCTCTGCTACCGCACGGCAAGCGGTACTGGAGCACCAAGTATAGGTCCAAAAGGCTTCTTAACAGCTTCCCCCCCCCCAACCCCTCTTTTACGCTGCTGCCACTCTCTGTTTATTATCTATGCATAGTCACTTTAACTCTACCTACATGTACATATTACCTCAATTACCTCAACTAACCGGTGCCCCCGCACATTGACTCTGTACCGGTACCCCCCTGTATATAGCCTCACCACTGTTATTTTACTGCTGCTCTTTAATCGATTTTTTACTTAACACTTATTTTTCTTAAAACTTCATTGTTGGTTAAGGGCTTGTAAGTAAGCATTTCACTGTAAGGTCTACACCTGTTGTATTTTGCGCATGTGACAAAGAAAATTTGATTTGATTTGATTCTAGAAGTTTCAGACTGTCCTCAGTAAGATGTATGACTCTGTGGCACCAGACACAGATCAGATAAGATCTACATCCAGACATAGATCAGATAAGACAGAGAGGGCTATAAATCGTGCCTTCAGAATAATTAGTTATCTCTCTCTATAGCAAGGAGTTTATACACGTCCATGTATGTAATGCCATTCTACCAGGCTATGTACAGATCCTGTTGTATTGCTGCATTACTATAGTTAATATGTTTATATGTCTCCATTCCCTTATAGAACCACAGGTACAGATTTCTGAGTGTGAATACTATAGTGTGGTAGTGGTGAATATAATAAACGTCCTGGACTGAGAAGTTCTTGCCGAACAGCCTGCAGTGAGTCAGAACCAGGTATATCAGGGATTCAGTCACTAGCGGGTGACGGCTCAGAAGCCAACTACTCAGACTGCTCCAGCTACACGTTTTTACAGCACCACTATTTATTAGACCTACGTTTTTAAACAATAACATTATTATACCTGGGCTAGCACAACAATTATTATCAAGTGAGTACACAATTATTGTCCATAAATATTGTCCTCGACTAACCAGTGCCCCCGCACATTGACTCGGTACCGGTACCCCCTGTAATAGCCTCGCTATTGTTATTTCTGCTGCTGCTCTTTAACTATTTGTTACTTTTATTTCGTATTATTTTATATTGTATTTTTTTGTGTGATTTCTTTTTGGTATTCTTTCTTAAAAACGGCATTGATGGTTAAGGGCTTGTAAGTAAGCATTTCACTGTAAGGTCTACTACACCTGTTGTATTCGGCGATTGTGTATTTTACATTCTGCACGGAAGAGCAAGCGTGTATCTCTCATCCAATAGGCTGTTAGTAGACTAAAGAAAATCAGTCACAATAAGTGTCCAACAATGTTTTGTATCCGTGGCAGCGGAGAGGCCAGGTGCGTAATTGCGCAACAGAACAAAGACAGACAGGCTCGAGCTATACCCTAAGTTAGAAGCGTATGCATACTAGCCCAGAATTCATAAAGTCAATGTGAATATATCCAGTGAATTTACACAGCGAACAAAAAAAAAGTATCAGATAACGAAATCATAGGTAGCCTACATTATGTGTGCTCCCGAGGCTGCGCTGAGTGTGCTATCTCCCAGTCCCTGATTACCAGCTTAAAAAGCTACCCTATTGTTTCAGTTTTTTAGGGACAAGAAATGTATCCTACCTAGGCTACAACAACACAATGTAAGGAAGAATGCTATTGTTTTCAAGTGAGTACAAAACTCTAGTATTCATAGGTTGCACCTCCATCACTCGGTCGCGTCATGCCATAGTGGTGCCCTAAAGTGGTGATAAACCCAGTCAATCTGGATGGAGGCTAACTACTGTTTCGTATAAATTACACTATAGTGCCTGGAAATACAATGAAATTGCTAAAGTAGCCAGATATTTAGTAGGAAACAACATTGCCAGCATTATCATGTCGTCAAATTTACTTTAGACAGATGGCAATGTTGTCATTAGCTAGCAAAGTTCGTCAAAAATAGCTAGAAATGCTAACGTTAGCTAGCTAATTTCCTGGTGGCCTCCCCTCTATTTTAGCGTTATACTGCATCTAAAGTCAATCTAGGGACATCAAAAATGATGACAAAAGCTTTTCCTAGTAATTATTTGCCTCCTTTTGAGTGTCATTGTATTTCCAAGCCATTGTAATGCACTTTTGATTACATCTTCATCAGCGCTCATTGATGATGCATTGAGTAGAACGCTCAGTCGGGCATCAGTTCAAAGCAAACGTTCAAAACAATATTGTTATTATTCTATTATTCATTTGAATAACCGCTCAAAAGCCTGGCATTTTCAACTGCATCTAGCCTGCCTGATTGGGCAACCATTTCGATCAGTTATGGGGTTTTTCTCTGCAGTTTATCCTACAAGGTCCAGGCACATTAGCAGGCCAGTAATATGGTATATCTTTTTTTCAGGATGTATCAGCTAACAGAAACATGCTAATGCGGGGATTTCTAGCGGCGCGCATATGAATTATGATACTGCACGAGCGCGGAGGAAGTTGTATCCATAGTTTCCGCATTTGGCTTCCGTGTTTTAAAAGTTTTGGGAAATGAGGTGGAAACCTCAATATGCTGCTTATCCATTTAGAGTAGACGAGAAGACCTAGGTAATATATGCATAGTGTTGGTCAATGATAGCTGTTCTTTCCTTAGGGTATTACTACATTTCATGTCAGTTACTGGGGGAGAGGTTATGGTAAGAAGAATGGATTGTGTGCATGACATAAAGACAAATTGTACAATGTTGCAAGAAAATCTTAATAATCTATTTCTGAGAAGAACATACAAAAGTCAAAATGCTATGTTGGGTGTGTCCAATGCAGAGGAGGCTGGTGGGAGAAGCTGTAGGAGGACGGGCTAATTGTAATGGGGTGAAATAAAATAAATGCAACGGAGTCAAACATGCTGTTTCCGTATGTTTGATGCGTTTGATACCGTTCCATTTATTCCATTCCAGCCATTAAAATGAGCCCGTCCTCCCACTTGCCTCCTCTGGTTCAATGCTAAGTTAGGGGTGTCTAATGCTATGCTAGGTGTGTCCAGTGCTATGCTAGGTGTATCCAATGCTATGCTAGGTGTGTCCAATGCTATGCTAGGTGTGTCCAGTTGTGATTCTATGTAACTTTTGAGGTGTTAAGTGTTTCCTCTTGAATGACAATAAACAAAATCAATCAATCAATCAATCAACCAATAAATCAATCACTCAATCAACAAATCAATCAATCAACAAATCAATAAATGTATCAATAAACCAATCAGTCAGGTGTGTCCAGTCTTACCGGTTGACGTACTGCATGATGTTGCCAGGCCACGCTAGCTGAACCTTCAGCTGTCCTCTGTGCTCCACAAAGAAGTCCACCAGGGTCCTGGTCACCGTGGCCGAGGTATGGAAGAAGAAGGCAGGGATCCAGAGTATGGCCCTGTCCAGCTTCTTGAGACTCAGGAAGAAGTTGTTCCTGTCCTGGATGGTCAGCAGATTGTTGTAGTACTTCTCCAGGATGCTGGGGTTAAAGGTCGTGAGGTTGGTCCTCCGCCCCACGTCCCGGCGGAAGATCTCGGTGGGAGCGAAGTTGCAACGGAAGACAAAGTCAAACTTCTCGATCTCGGGGCCGCAGCGACTCCCTGTGAGGATGCCGCTGTTGCCCACCACGGCGCACACGTTGTAGTGCCTGTTGACGATGGGGGAGGCCTCGGGGAGCAGGGACTTGAAGTTCTCTCCGACGGAGAAGACGTACTTGTGGCTGGAGTAGTCGTAGTGCATCAGCTGACCCACGCGCACGCTGCTCCGGGTCAGGGTGAAGTTGTGGGCGATGTCGATGTGCTGAGAGATCTCTTTTCTGGAAGATATGGGGAGATCAGACAGGCGGGGAAATGTTAGGCTGTGTGTCCCAAATAGCACCCTATTTCCTATGTAGTGCACTTATTTTGATCAGGGCCCATAGGGGTCTACTAAGCTAACATATGGAATTGTTTTAAGATGGTCATACCATGGATCATTTAGCTATTTGATTTATAATTGTAGGACCCCTGTAGGTATAACAAAATATATATAAAACAATTATTTGATAAAATATTGAATTTTGTCTTTACTACTTTAGCCTATAGAAATGCATTGACTAACACATTCATAAATGGCAAAACAGACAGTCAAAAAATAAATCATAAGGAATCAGGTTTTTAAAGTTTATGCGAGATATACGAAAGCTCAGGAAATATATATTTATTTTTTGACACATTTAACCCCCTTTTTTTGTTGGCACAAAACTGCTTCCATACTTCCATTCATTTTTTTAAGCCAGTACCAGGTTACCTTCAAATGAGTCCCGTTACACTTGTAGGGGTCATAAAGCAAAACGGGGAACACCATCGGCTTCGTAAGAGTCTCCCCTTTCCATATTTGTTTTTTAGCCCAAACGGTTTGGAGTTTGCAGACCGTATCGGATGCTACAGACGTTTTCATGAGAAGACCAATTTTTCGGGATGTCTCCTGCGCTGTAGCTCTGCCACTTCCCACCGCAGATGCGGAAGGACGACGTCGGCGGATGCGGTGGATTGAAATGCAACCCATACAAAAAAACATATCTCTAGCTTAAACAGACGGATTTTTGATGGGGATCTTTGTATTATGTTAATTAGATTGACGCACAGGTGCATCAATCAACTCTTAAGGATTAAAGCTGCAATATGTACATTTTTGGATGAGCCCACCAAATTCACATAGAACTGTGAGTTATAGAGCTGTCATTTTCATTGAAAGCAAGTCTAAGAAGGCGGTAGATCTGTTCTATGTGCGCTATTTCTATGCTTCCCGTTCTTAAGTTTTGTTTTTGCGTCTTTTACTTTTGGTTTTGTCCACCAGCTTCAAACAGCTGGAAATACAATATTTTTGGTTAAGGAAAATATATTTCACAGCGGTTTAGATGGTACAATGATTCTCTACACAATGGCCGCTTGTTTTGTCACATAAACTGAAATTAGTCGAACTACTACAAGTTTAGCAACCAGGAAATGGTGGAGCGATATCTCCATATTGCACCTTTAAGAACTGTCCATGTTGTCTGTGCCAGCATTCTCCCCCACCAGTGGTAGTGCCCCACTCCCCCACACTAGGAACCCCAAAATACACTTCTATGCCTGGTGACCTATGGAGGGTCTTACTGAATCCTGTATGCATGGGACTTGCTAACTCTCTTTACGATCTAGTAATACATTAGCAACATTCCATCCTAAAACCATTCCTAAACACTCCTAAACAACATTCCCTCCAAAACCCTCCATAGCTTAGTGCCTGGTCTAATCTCAGCACCCAGAACCAAATCTGCTTCTATCATTTTAATAATACCAGAGACAAAGCCTGGTCTAAAGTTATTGTGCTTCGATGAGCCTGGCCTGGGTCATGTTCATTAGGCCCCCCAAAAAAGTGTTTAAAAAGGAAGGTCACTACCTGAATGTGCCCAATAACAACACTGCTTTCTGTTGTAAAACATTTTAGTTAGTGCTTAATGAATAGGACCCAGATGTACAGTGGGGAAAAAAAGTATTTAGTCAGCCACCAATTGTGCAAGTTCTCCCACTTAAAAAGATGAGAGAGGCCTGTAATTTCCATCATAGGTACACGTCAACTATGACAGACAAATTGAGAAAAGAAAATCCAGAAAATCACATTGTAGGATTTTTTATGAATTTATTTGCAAATTATGGTGGAAAATAAGTATTTGGTCACCTACAAACAAGCAAGATATCGGGCTCTCACAGACCTGTAACTTCTTCTTTAAGAGGCTCCTCTGTCCTCCACTCGTTACCTGAATTAATGGCACCTGTTTGAACTTGTTATCAGTATAAAAGACACCTGTCCACAACCTCAAACAGTCACACTCCAAACTCCACTATGGCCAAGACCAAAGAGCTGTCAAAGGACACCAGAAACAAAATTGTAGACCTGCACCAGGCTGGGAAGACTGAATCTGCAATAGGTAAGCAGCTTGGTTTGAAGAAATCAACTGTGGGAGCAATTATTAGGAAATGGAAGACATACAAGACCACTGATAATCTCCCTCGATCTGGGGCTCCATGCAAGATCTCACCCCGTGGGGTCAAAATGATCACAAGAACGGTGAGCAAAAATCCCAGAACCACACGGGGGACCTAGTGAATGACCTGCAGAGAGCTGGGACCAAAGTAACAAAGCCTACCATCAGTAACACACTACGCCACCAGGGACTCAAATCCTGCAGTGCCAGACGTGTCCCCCTGCTTAAGCCAGTACATGTCCAGGCCCGTCTGAAGTTTGCTAGAGTGCATTTGGATGATCCAGAAGAGGATTGGGAGAATGTCAGATGGTCAGATGAAACCAAAATAGAACTTTTTGGTAAAAACTCAACTCGTCGTGTTTGGAGGACAAAGAATGCTGAGTTGCATCCAAAGAACACCATACCTACTGTGAAGCATGGGGGTGGAAACATTATGCTTTGGGGCTGTTTTTCTGCAAAGGGACCAGGACGACTGATCCGTGTAAAGGAAAGAATGAATGGGGCCATGTATCGTGAGATTTTGAGTGAAAACCTCCTTCCATCAGCAAGGGCATTGAAGATGAAACGTGGCTGGGTCTTTCAGCATGACAATGATCCCAAACACACCGCCCGGGCAACGAAGGAGTGGCTTCGTAAGAAGCATTTCAAGGTCCTGGAGTGGCCTAGCCAGTCTCCAGATCTCAACCCCATAGAAAATCTTTCGAGGGAGTTGAAAGTCCGTGTTGCCCAGCGACAGCCCCAAAACATCACTGCTCTAGAGGAGATCTGCATGGAGGAATGGGCCAAAATACCAGCAACAGTGTGTGAAAACCTTGTGAAGACTTACAGAAAACGTTTGACCTGTGTCATTGCCAACAAAGGGTATATAACAAAGTATTGAGAAACTTTTGTTATTGACCAAATACTTATTTTCCACCATAATTTGCAAATAAATTCATTAAAAATCCTACAATGTGATTTTCTGGATTTTTTTCTCTCATTTTGTCTGTCATAGTTGACTTGTACCTATGATGAAAATTACAGGCCTCTCTCAACTTTTTAAGTGGGAGAACTTGCACAATTGGTGGCTGACTAAATACTTTTTTTCCCCACTGTATCCTATAGGCTACTTCACCTCTGTTCTGTGAAAGCCGTTCTGTTATAGCGCCATTTGGAGGTGTTCTCCTGGAGGCCCTCGTTCAGGGCATTGGTCAGAGGGGTGAAGGCCGGGTCCAGGTACTTCATGGCCAGCTGAGACCTGTGGACAGAGGCAAACACATTGATACACACTGGAGAAGGCTTTGACCATAACGTTTCTGTGCCTAAGTATTTTCCACTGCTGCAGTGCTGCAAGCCAGAAAAAACAATACATTCAAAAGTCGCTAAGTAAAGGAATACTTTGGATTTAGTTTGTCTATTTAGTGTAAGAAGAACCAACCTCCTTTTTGACAGAGACGACCACAAAAACAGTGTGTTGTGTCCATTAGAGAGGGAAGGGAAGCCGGCCTAGTTGGTTCTGATGTTACTGGGAGGCAGGAATCTATTAAAGGGGCAATCTGCGATTCAAACAATAACAAAGCGGACGGACACCTGTTTTGGTAAAAATTATGTTATTTGGAGGCAGGAAGCTGGTAAAAGCAGGGCCTGATCAGCGTCCAACACCCTCTCCTCCACCCTCCTCTCCTCCACCCTCACCATCTTCCTCTCCTCCACCCTCCTCTCCTCCACCCTCCTCTCCTCCACCCTCCTCTCCTCCACCCTCACCACCCTCCTCTCCTCCACCCTCACCACCCTCCTCTCCTCCACCCTCACCACCCTCCTCTCCTCCACCCTCCTCTCCTCCACCCTCACCACCCTCCTCTCCTCTCCTTCACCCTCACCACCCTCCTCTCCTCCACCCTCCTCTCCTCCACCCTCCTCTCCTCCACCCTCCTCTCCTCCACCCTCACCACCCTCCTCTCCTCCACCCTCACCACCCTCCTCTCCTCCACCCTCTCCACCCTCCTCCTTGTTCCACAGCTCCTGTCACTCAATTTCCTAAAAAAAGTAGGAAATTGTTATGTTGTTATGTTTCCCGTTTTAAAGCGGTAGCTACAATAGCTGCCATTCCATTCCATTGCAGTATTAGACCCAGGCAATGGGACACTATTGCCTGATTCAAATCAAATCAAAGTTTATTGGTCACGTGCACAGGATACAGGTGTAAACGCTACAGTGAAATGCTTACTTGCTAACTCTCCTCAACAATGCAGTACAATATCACAATTATACACTATCGTGCTGACCCGAACCGTACTGGGCTGACCCGAACCGTACTGGGCTGGCTTGGACATTGTCCTTTCCAGCATGGTTCTGACGACAATGGTGGATGCGTAACCAGCCCAGTCCAGTACAGCTCGGCTTGGCTCGGTTTGGGTTAGTAGTGTGAAAAGGTTTGGCTGCTAGGTTGAGAATGGCATGTGCACCACGCTGACACACTAAGCAATAGTATTAGCATGTAGGCTAGCTGGCTAGCAAGCACTGCAATTATTCGTTTTATGGGAGGATAGCATCATGCACTGCCTACTGTGTCCCAAATGGCACCCTATTCCCTATATAGTGCACTACTTTTGACCAGTGCCCTATGGGGGAATAGGGTGCCATTTGGTGCGAACACGCTGTGTAGCCTACACTGGCAGTCTAAATGGTTATATTAGCTTGTTTCACCATTAGGCTACCTGATGTCAATTGGTTGGATGATGTCCTGATGGTATCGTACTTGTGAAGGGATTGGACCGTGGCTGTGGGGATAAAACATGGAGAGTTATGGTACTGGGTTCAGGATACTTACATGTACGT